TTTTTTTTTTTTTTTTTCTGACAAATACATCTATTTATGTGTGAAATAAACGCATAACATCCGTCAATTTTAAATGTTGCGAATTTCATCAAACGATCGATGTTTCATCAGTCGGGAAGGAGATGGGGGAACGGGGAAAAGAGAAAGGAGAGCACGGTGAAGGAAGGGGATGCGGTAAGGATATCGGTAGTGAGCACCAAAATTTTACTTGCAACTTGAAAATTAGGAAATTGGAGCTTCAATTATTCTCTTTTTTTTTTTTATTTCTAACTCCTTAATTTCTTTCCGTCACTCAAGTCCTCTTTTTTTTTTCTGCGTTTAAAGTTCGAAAAAAAAATCTTATTTATTTATCCTTTTTCTTTTGTGGACTTTTCGGTTCAGTAACTCAGCAGAAAGCGGAAAAAAAAAGAGTTATCAAACAATGATTGAAGAAAAGATTGTTCTATTTTGATACTTCTCATTTTGTTGTTTGTTTTAAGTCGCCCAATACTTTTAACACTGTAAATACTGCTAAATAAAATTTTTTTCAAGTTTTTTTTTTTTTTGCTAAGAGGAGAGGTGGGAGAGAGGGAGTGGACGGATAGAGAAAGAGGAGAAGAAATTTCAAAAAAAAAAAAAAAATTATTTAAGAGGAAAAAAACTAATCAATACGAAAAAAATTGCATTTTAAAATTTAAGAAAAAACTGAAAAAAAGAAAATAGAGAGAGATGCGGATAAAAAAATGGTGAAATTTTTTGTAAGACATATCAGCAACACCAACAGTTACAGCTGCATTCGTTTGCAAAAAAATTTTTTTCCCTTTTCACAAGTTTGTTACATTGATCTCAATGACAGTTAAAACTTGGTGAAAAATTGCTAAAAATTTTGGGCAGGCTATTTGGTTGCCGGATTTGTAGTTGTTGCTTTCAATCGGTGTTGATAGGGATGGGACAGAGTAAGGAGGGCGAGGGGAAGGGGAGGGGGATCCGAGGAAACGGGGAGAACGGAAATGGGGCGGAGGAGGCAACAGCGGCATTTTGGATAATTTTCGAGTGCCTTTCTCGACTATCGCCATCATCGTTGCTGACAGTGGCGAAGTTTATTGGAGGACAGGGGAGGATTGTTGATGAACTGAAAAACCTCAACTGAGAACGATGTATTTTTCCAATTTTTCTGTTTTCTTTTCGATTTTTTTTTCTTTTTTCGTGGGAAAAAGAAAAGGAATCATCAGAAGGAATAGAAAATTAGTTTTTTTTCATTGTTCTTTTCTATTTTTCTTACAATAAACGTTTGTTTATTTGTTTGTTTCTTTGTTTTTATCTTCTTCTTTCTGATCAGTTATAATATAATAGCGAATTAATAACTACGAGAAAAAAGTGGATATATGTCCAATCGATGATGTGTTATTTTCTGTTTCAATTTCGTTTTTTTCTTTTTTTTTTTGCTTTTTTTGATTGAACAGCTGTGCAACTGATAGTGTAAATCGTGTAAATGTTTGATTTTTCTGTTTTTTTTTTCTTTTTTATTGCAGTTTTTTCTGCTATTTTATTTACAACTTTTTTTTTGTTTTTCCTTTTTTTTTTTTTTTTTTCAAACTGCATTCCTTTTCTTTTTGTGTGTTTCTTTGTTCGTGGTTAACTAAAAAGTAAAATGTGCATTTATTAATTTTACTATAACCCTTCAAACTATACTTTGGTCGTTATTTGTTATGACAGTTTCATCTTGTAGCTTATTAACATTCTGTCAACTGCTTGAATAATGCTGACTTCTACAGCATTTCATTTGGACAACTTTAACGTCACGATAACAACTGTCGTTGACTTTTTACAAAACTTGTAAAAATTTCTCCTGAAAAAAAAAAAAAACTAGAACTTATAATCGATTGAACAGTATTTCATTAATAATTCTGATTTATGCACACAGATCTTTAAAATATAAGTAGACAAACTTTATCAGAAAAAAAAAGACATTTTTAATATTTATCCGCATTTTTCCCTCTGAAACTAATATTGACCTAATTTTTTTAAGTAGCAAATAAAGCAGAAAAAAAAAGTTGGATAAAGAGGAAAAACGTAAAAAAGAAAGCTTTTTTATAAACTTCGATAAACTTCAACCAAAAATGAAAAATGAATTATGAAGTGTCAAACATAAAACTAAAGTCAATTTGCACTTTTTCCGTTTTTCTTTCACTTTTTGGCTATTTCAACACTTCTCCCTCGACCCCCCTCCCCTTGATTACCCTCCTCCTGGACATAATTATTTACTGAATGGTTCATACTGCACTTACTTCCCTCTTTAAACACTACACCACCTAAAAATTTTTTTTCTTTCTTGCTGAGTGAGTCAGCGACAAGAAAGACGATGGCAGGACGATAGAAAATGTAAGGAAGGCGAACAAGAGCAGGGAGGGAGGTGAAGGGAAGGAAAGGGGGGAAAAGTTGAGAAGTGCGATAAGAAGGACGATGTTTGCAGACACGAATGGAAATTTCAATTTGCTTCTAACGTTCCTTTCTGAATCTGAGAAAGAAAAGAGAAGAAAACGAAGGAGTATTTTCTATTAATAAATAATTAAGTTTTGGTAAAATTAATTCGATAACGTTAAATTTCTATTTTTCTATTTTCTACTCTTTCTCCTCTCTCCCCTACTAACATGTGGAAGGAGCGAGAATTAGGACTACAAAAAAAAGTGCCCTTTTTTTCTGCTACTTTATCTGCTCCTTCCCAAGGATTCAGAGGCGATAAGTTGTGGGAACAGACGACAAATATTTTAACGGGATAGTAAAAAAGGGAAGAAAATTGTGAACTTTAATGGTTTTTTCTCGTTTTCACTGTGTAATTTTCTTTAGAAAAATATATTTTTTTTACTTCTCTGATAATTTATTTCTCTTCTGCTCAAAAGCCTTAAAAAAGTAAAAACAAGTGAATGGCAGCAGTTCACCTTACGGCGGCGTTGACGATGGCAGCGAACCACGACGACGACAACGGCGATTTTGGCGAAGGCAAAGTAGCATCTGCCTCACTCACCCATCGATCATCAATTAAGGGGATATAGACAAGCAGTAGAGGTTAAAGTGGCAGTGATACTGATGACACAGTCAGGGTGTTCCGCTTAACCACAGTTTCATATCGTGATAGATACGTAACATTCTTCCGGGTTTCCGAACATCAACTCATTCTTTGATTACTCTACGGAAGGACAGATGCCAAAAAACGACGGACAGCGGCTCAAATTGACGTGTGTAACAGTGCCGTGCAGAAATGTCCTTTCTTTTTGCCCCTTTTGTTAGAGGCCAAGAATTCTGCTCTTTTTAATTTTGGCTGTTTCTTTTTTCTCTAGATAGTATGTCATTTGGATATGACACATAAGTCAAGTAAGCAAATAGCAAAACCATAGCCAAGGCAAAACATTGAGGAATTGAAGAATAAAACGAAATACGATAGAAAATAATTATGAATCAATTGAAGATTCAATGAAAGGTTTTAAAAAGATTCACACCAATTTTATTTTAGTGGCCTAAAATAGTATTTACATTTAAATGACAAAATAATTGTTATTCGGACCTGTTAACATTTGAAATCAACATAAAGAAATTGTGCTAGAAAAAATTCACTTTTCCGTTATTGGTTTCCAGATGTGTATTTATTCCTTTCTAAGATGATTTGAAGATGATATTGAGATAAAAATCTTGTTTTTTGGATATGGTGTATAGAAGTTACATAAGGTCCATACAGTGGTAGCCATAATTCAAGCACCGATAACCCAGGTGGATGAAATGTTACGGAAAACTAGCTAAGACTTACTTTCTATTAGGCAAAAAAGATTACACTTCAATCGTTTGCTACCAAAGACTATGTTTTGCAAAATTAACAGTTTTCTGTTGGATTTCTTCTCAACGTTTGAGAAATGTATACTGCAAAAGACCGCTCATTCAGATATTTTTAGTACACAGGGAGTACAATAGTTCAAGTTTAATTTTTATGAAGAACAGCTAGAATATTGTAATTTTGCTTCTACATTTCCTTTTATAAAGTTTTATTTGCGACGTTTATTTTTTTATTTTTATATGATTTTATATCACTATATATAATTCACTGCCTTATAATTTTGGTTTGGAAGTTAAATTTGAGTTTGTTTGAGTAGTCACTAACTGTTAGCTTAAGAAATGAGGGTCTAGGTTTTCCTGTCACTGCGAATTCTTTTTGTTGATTGAAATTTTTCTGTTTACGTGCCTGTAAATTGGAATAAAACTGTCCAAACCCGAAGCGGTTAAAAGGAAATTGGAGTAAGAGAAAAATAACCGCTTGTAGGAATCGGTGTACCCGCTGGTTCTCAGAAATCTACTAGCGGCTGACTGCTTTGGATCAGGAGAGGTGGGAGGCCAAGAGAGTAACAGCACTAGTGCTACGGCTGTACGTAGAAGTCCGCATGAATATGATTTATTTGGCTGAGTTGCACGGAAGAGGAATTTTTTGTCTCAGCTAAGGACCAAAGATTTTAGATACAGCTTGCAAGGACGATGTCCAGTGGAGAGATGACCACTGGCAGTGCATGGTCTTCATTGATAAGTGTAAGTTTTATTTAGAGGGCAGTAATAGTAGGATTCCCCGTAAGAGGAAGGTAGATGCGGGGTCCACTTTTATCCAGAAAGCCTTCGAATCCTGCTCTTAAATGGCTGACGAACAGAAGTGGCGAAGGCCTTCCGTAACTGCTACAGAATGTCGACCGAAATTCTTCAAAAGCATTGTGCTGGAGGTTTACATTAGGGACAACAAACTGGCTAATATTTGAAGACTTTGTAATGGTGATACAGGAGCGTCAGAGTATAGTATCGATGGATCGGTGTCGATGGTTGACGCGTTCTAGGGAAGGGGAGGGTTGGAGGAGGAGTCAGAAAAAAGATCATCTGACAAAGTATTACGTCTTCATTATTCTTTTGTGCTTTTCTTGTTCCCTTTCCTGTCACTTGCAAACGTTAAAATTCAAATTTTTACTGTCTCTGAATTCAAGGTTTATATTCAGTAATATTGCTTGTAAAAGTATTCATTTTTTAGACAATCAGTAAGGATGTAGTTCTTGATTGGATAGCTGGAGTAGAAAAGAAATGATTAAGGAGGCCGCTTTCCACAATGAATTAAATTAGTAAAAAGTTTTTTTTTTTCCATCGGTGCTAGACTATATGGCCGTTACTGTATATTTATGCAGATTAAGCATATCCACGTATCTACTGATGGCTAAGCCGATACCTGTCGGCAAAAACAAAGGGAGGAAAGGTATAAGGGAGAGGAAGGCACCTGTGAACTCTTTTCTGGTTAACAGTTGACTTTTATCAATCTATAAGTAGGCATATTTTTCTTCTTCTTACTAAAAAAAAGAAAAAAAGCGTTCATCATCAAATCGACAGTTTTTCTTCGCATTTTTCCCTTTGTTTCGTTCAGAAAGGAGGTTGATGAACGAAGAAGAGGTGAATGAAGGCCAGTTGAACAAAAAATCTATTGCAAGTTGCAAGCCAAAGCAAACAAACAAACAAACAAATAAACAAACAATGCTCTATAAATAAAAAAAAAAAAAGAAAACTTGAAAGAAAAAGGGTTTTAAAAAGTCG